TGGTCAGGTGGTACAAGTCGTAGCTCTCAGAAAACTCCCATTTCAAAAGTTGTAATTACGAGTTCTACGAGGACGTGAATGCATTTGATTATCTCATAAAAACTGTAATTACGATATGGCATGAACACACCTACAGCAGTCAACAGTATTTGGGTTTTTCTAGTAAAAACTGTCACAGCATGCAAAATCAGAACATCATGCAAGAAGCCATAAAGCAAGCTTAATAAACTCTTGAACAGCACACTCTGAATGGCAAAACTTGAACACAAACATTGAACAGCGAACCTTGAACAGCAAGCCTGAACTGAGAACCTTCAATTGAGAACCTTGAACATTTTCACTTCTATTTATTTTTGCAACCTGAAAACTTTCACATATCTCTCATCACCCAACCCATATGGATTGGTTGAATCAAGGAAGAACATGTGCCTATCTTTTGGCTTCATGACCTGCAAAATATAGTTAGTAGTTCTTTATCATGAAATGGTATCTCTTAATTGCGATAAGACAAATGCAGACAATTTCCAGACAGCACTGCGAAGTTAAATAGCCAGATTACAAATGACGTACACACAACATCCAGTGTCCTGGCTTCCAAGCAGGGAAGACAATGCAATCTTTCAGCGCAATGAAATCCTATAAATAATAAAAAAATAAACAAAAAGAAATTCATTCAGTTGGTTTAAAATAAAATTGGTCACTGCTGTGAATGTTAAATAACATTGTGGCCTCACTGGAAATGACAAGGATGGGTCCAGATTATGTGGAGGCAACAAGGTCACCACAACATATGCATTAGCTGTCCACACATCCATTCCCTGCAACATAACATATCCATGTAAGACTATACACAAGCTAGACAACTGTGTCTCTGGCTATTTGAGATCTGCATCTTTACAAATACTTACTCGTTCCTTAGCCACCAATGCAATTACCTCAAGACAGCTGTTTGCAATCTGAAATAAAAAAATTAAAAAAAGAACTGTAAAGAGTCACAGACATTTCTTATTGTTATTGTGTGTTACTTTGTCAACTCACTGTTGCCTCCAACTGCTCATTGAGACCTAGAGTCCAGAAATCTTTCCTTTTCAGAACAAAGTTCCCGACTTCAGCAATTGTCTCATCTTTGTCGCCTGTCCCCAAAGCCCATTCAGGCTTAAAGACAAATGAGAGAAGAAAAATAAATAAAATTAATTAAACCGTTTTGATTTAATGTGGGAGTGTCATTGCGACATCAAATAAAACTGAAAAATGTCATTCACATACCATGGCTGATTGCCTATGGCTTGGCAGACAATCCCAACAAACTCTACTGGCAGAGAGATGTTTGATCTTACACGCTATTTCATGTTCTGCTGTAATAGTAAAAAATTGATAATTACATACAATGACTTGCATCAGGATATATTAAGACTTAAGGTTAACACTTACTACTGGTTGGGACCATCATGGATGTCGGGGTCGTGTCCTCCATCTCAATGTCTGTGGGGACTGGCTCATCAATAGAGATGTCAGAATTTTCTATAACAATACAAAGCAGCCAACAAGAGCTAGACCAAAACCTTATATTTCTTTTAAACACACACACTGGTTGGTGACCTACGTATTTCCACTACTTAAAAAAAAAAAGTGTTTAATATTTAATATAAAGATATTTTAATTTACCCAGAACAGCCTGTCCATGCATATTCATCACCAACTTTGATCCAAAAGTCTTCATTAATCTAGTCCTCACTTTTTTGTTCTTGTTTTCGTTATAGTGGTGAATTATTGTCCTCATTTGAAAGAGGTGTGTTGATGGCTGAGACATGTTCAAGTAGTAGTTATTTTTCCTCATCTTTGAGAAGAGTTGCTCTGCAACCTGGCTATTTATTTTGCCAGCTAGTTGAGGCACTATAGTGATCTTCCTCAGAACATCTCTGCTGTCTTTGGTATTGCTCTCGTGAAAACGGTCAGACAATACATAATGTTCAGAAGACCCGGTCAGTGGGTGTCCTTGAGGATCACTTGCACTCTTTTTTTCCTCCAGCCAAGGCAAGGACACTTTCAGATTTCCAGATTTGGCAAGTGTAATGTTTTCTTGAGTGGGTTCTGCTAAGTGTCCTTCATATGGACGAATAGGAATGCTTTCTGGTGCCCTTAGATTGGCATGTGTTGCTAAACCGCGTGCGAAGTCATAAATGATGATGTTCGGCATATGCTTCCACGAGAACAGAAGGTCAGCAAAATCCCGAGGGCTTTCTGCTCGAAGATTGCATTTTAAACTGTAAACTATGCCACATGGGCACATGATGACTCCCCAGCCTCCTAATATAGGACAAATAAAACGAAAAGATTTTACGGGGGAAAAAAAAAAAATTTAAACAATTATGTATTGGCAATATATTGATTGTAATATCCAAGGCTATATTTGTAACACCAAGCAAAACAGTATTAGAAATTAAGTTCACCAGAGGCACCCCAGATTTTTTCAAAGATTTTAATCATACGTTTGCCTCGATTTCATTTCATTAGACAATCTGAGGAGGTCACTCCGAGATCCAGTGGAGTCCAGACCACATTCTTTGCATAGGTTCCGAATAACATTAACCTACAAAAAGTATTATTGAATATAGTGTATATTGGAAAAAAAAAAACTAAACCCCAAAAAAAAGCATTACAAACAAACCTTTTGCTCACCAGAGGCACCCCAGATTTTTTCAAAGATTTTATCATACGTTTGCCTCGATTTCATTTCATTAGACAATCTGAGGAGGTCACTCCGAGATCCAGTGGAGTCCAGACCACATTCTTTGCATAGGTTCCGAATAACATTAACCTACAAAAAGTATTATTGAATATAGTGTATATTGGAAAAAAAAAAACTAAACCCCAAAAAAAAGCATTACAAACAAAGCTTTTGAAGTTCTTCCTTCAGCCTCTCCTCTGTCACAGTAATTTCTGCAGTCTCTGAGGCAGACTTTGAAGAATGAAGTTTTTCATACTCCGTGTTTAGCACACTGTCTGAATGACGTGTGTTCTTGCCAATCCAAGGAGCCCAGAAATGATATGTAGGTTTAACTGCAAATGGATTTTGTGCACCACCTACAACAGCAGAATTAAAAACATAATGAGCTAATGAGTGTGATTATTTTAATTTCTTTGCAATACAGTGCATAAAAAAACTATATTTGCACATACTTGCAACAAATCCACGACATATCATCTCTTTGGACACTGCGTCCCAGAATGTTTCTACACTGATATCCCCTCGAAAATTTTCTGGAGGTTCCTCTGTCACTTACTGGAATAAAAAAAAAAAACAACAACAAAAAATTACACTATAAGGCAATAACATGCAAAATAAATAAATTAATTAATTAACATAAATACATGATTTGTATTTGTACATGATTACAATAAACATACCAGAAAACTGGAAAACACCCTTTTTGTGTAGATCCATTATCACCACTGGGGGATATGAATACCTGTATTCATGTGCTGTAAGGCCTCAAAGTGTAAATATGCATGAAGCATAGTGTCAGCTGGCGGAAACTTCAATCCTGTTAAATCTTCCAAAAAATCAACAGCTCTGCTCACAGATGTATGCACCTGGAAGTAACATACAAGTTTTAAGTAACATACATAAAAACATACACCATAGTGTTCTGTTAAAAGTCACCTGGAGAAGGCTTCTCAAGGTTAGACATAAGGGTATGGCAAGGATGTTGTGGTCATTGAAGTTATGTAGGTGGTCTTTCCACTCCTGGTAACGGTAGAACATTCCACATAGTGGGCACTGCTTACAATAAGTGGCAACATCTAAAATTTAGACAAGTAATACATCAGAGAACAATTTATCTGAATATCACACACGCAATTAGATAACACCAAATCATACCTTCAATTATGGACCAGTTTGTGAGTATTTTAGCCTTCTTTGTAATTAGGATGGGATTGCTGAGGGGGACGACACCTGGACAAATCTGACAGATACATTCATCTGGACAAAGGCTTCTTGGGTAATCTTTGTCTGGTGATGGTACCCGCACATCATCTGGTAGATCAACAGGTATCTTCTTGTGCTGAATAATGTAACATACCATATTATTTAGCCCCTGATCTTTTGGAGGATAAACAGGACTGTCTTCGCTGAAATCTTTCTCCTCAGACTGTGCATATGGTGGTTTGTGTGGTGATTCTTCTATGCTGAAGACTGTTCGAAACAGGTCACGTTGCGTCTGAAAAAGGTGCCATTTTGCAATATATTTGTGCACACATGAACGCCGCAATTTGGCACAGGGACAATGCCATGTGTTTAATTTTGAGTCATACACAACCATTACACGCCCCAACCGACTGTAATAGGAAACACTGGGTTCAAATACTGAAATTAACTTCTTTGTTTCAGGGGTGCCGATCGAAGTTTGAACAGAGAGTGGTATGCAACTGCTGTTGGCAAGCTGCTGCCGAGTAAGGCATATCTTCTTCTTTTCATTACTAAACCACTTTGCTTTCACCATCTCGGATAAAATCTCCTCTTTCAGGGAGACTGGTTCTGCAGAGGATGTGCAGTAATTTACTGAGCGGATGTGTTTGCACTGGTATGATGACAGGCCACTCCTCTGTGCAACTTCCATGTTGACCTGACATTCATGTGATTCACAGATGACCTTATGGTGTTCTCCCCATGTCTTGAGCTGAATATGAAGAGGAACACTGTGACCCTTGGTAACTTTAAGGACTGCATATATGCCATTTGTCCTGTCGATGCGCTGGCTCTCAAGATGGAATGTGGCATTAATGTCCTGTATTGGCTCTTCTGTGTGTTTGCGGTCAATGTGCTTTTTTAAGTTTTTTTTATTAATGAGGATATTGCAAACGGGGCATCTTTTTTGGATCACAGGCCACACACAAACCCTTCTTGAGGAGACTGCTGGTGTGGTCAACGCTGCAGTAGCTGGAGATGGTGTGGTCAGCACTGGAGAGGTTGGAGATGGTGTGTCTCTCACTGCTGGTGTGGGCAGAGCTGCGGTGGCTGGAGATGGTGTGGTCAGCACTGGAGAAGTTGGAGATGGTGTGTCTCTCACTGCTGGTGTGGGCAGAGCTGCAGTGGCTGGAGATGGTGTGGTCAGCACTGGAGAAGTTGGAGATGGTGTGTCTCTCACTGCTGGTGTGGGCAGAGCTGCAGTGGCTGGAGATGGTGTGGTCAGCACTGGAGAAGTTGGAGATGGTGTGTCTCTCACTGCTGGTGTGGGCAGAGCTGCAGTGGCTG